CTGACAGTACATCTGCTTTAGATGCCGGAAACGCGTCCTTGGGGAACCCGACATGTTCCAACTCTCGGTACGTGTCTGCTTTGGCGTAAGAGCTCACGCCGACTTAGAGCGAACTGAAAGCAGAGGGCGGACGAGGGTATCAGGAAGGACGAGAGAGATCCAAGTACGATTGCGGAGCTTTAATCAGCCACCTAACCGACGTAATCCATTTGGAGTAGCTTCCAAAAACGATCAATGACCAAGAGAACAACCGACCATTCTCACAAGTGCGATCAACAACGAGAGGTGTTTACACTGTGCTTCCAGTGTTTACCAGTAAGACAGCTAGATACTCTTTCATTCGGAACACACCGCACCATCAACTGTTAGGGCATCTAAGACTACATCAACAGTTCTCGACAACAGTTCCCGACTCCATTGCCATTGCACTTCCAGCAATCCGTGACGTGAACCTTGCAATTCGGGATACTAGCCATCGTTCGGATGGCATGACTCAAGTGATTTGGCAATCAGCGGTGGAGCGCCAGGAGCCGCTCGGATCGCGCGATGTCGCGAATCATGAACACCTCCGAAGCACGTACTGTAATGCTGCGTTCAGACTTTGCGATGTCGCGTGCGAAGCGCTACCACTGCACTAGCGCTCCAGTGCTACAGATAGCCACGCAGCCATGGACGGGTATCGATCGGCGCCGGCCGCAAGTGTTTTGGAAAAGAATAGGAGAATAGGGGTGTAACAGACACAGTGATTAAGCGTCTGCAGTGCGGTCGCAAAACACAGCATTACTTTTTATAACGCCTAATCACTGTATGGTACCCTCCTACTCTCTTACACTTCCGCCCGAACAGTAGCCGGCGCCAATCGATATCCGTCCATGGCTACGTTCTCATTTACTTCTGATTATATCAGTATTGGAGGCGCGACCTGCAGGCAGATAATAGTAGTCCGTCGACGCGCGACATCGCGAAGTCTGAACGCACCTGAGACCACCGTAGACTCCTGTGTTTATCGTGTAACACCGTATCTTCAGCCGCTGGAAACTCACAGACTTCTTCAAATGATCATGTGCAGATCATTGCTTACTCATGATTACAGCAGGGATAAGGGGGTAGGGCGGAAGAGCGGCCGGGCGACCGTGTCTACTCGCATGCACTCTCAGCGATATGGGACATCGTACTCAAACCCATAGACTTGGCGGGAAAAGAGGACAATATGGGACAAGGCGCTGCATATTCGCGCAGCTGCGTGCCCTGTCGTCTACTGCTCCGGGTTATCACTGAGAAGATAAACATCCATTCAATGAACCTGTACAACTCTGTTTCAGGCTGGAGCTCCAAAGGACGACAAATTGGTTGTGCAATTCGCACCGGCGCCCGCTGACGCAACTGATGCGCAGGCGGCGTTTGCTCAAGTACAACCTACTGGCAACGTCACCATTAATCTTAGCGCTACATAAACAGACTCGGCAATAAAAATTTCCCTCGAAATGTTCTAGTCTTGTTTTGTAATGGCACTAGTATAGTAAACTCGAGACGCCATGGCAGAAGTCTACTGACAATTGAAATCTGCCATTTCAACGTCTATTTCCGTAATAAATATTTGAGACATGTGTCCGATAACCTAGCAAAAAAGAAAAGACGGCAAAAAAGACGTCACCGAAGATGGACCAGCGATGGCGGATAACGAGATGCTCAACTCCTCGAGCAGAACTGGGTAGCCGCGATGAAGATTTCTGCGCACTTGTTGGAAAGAAGTCGCCGGTGGACCAGTATCAGTGCAAAAAGGAGATATCGCAGCACGGTTACAGTCGTTACCACTGAAGTCGGTCGGGGTAAGTC